GGACTTACATGTGATTTATTAAGATGTGCATACAAGCACTAAAATTTTGCATCTCCTTGAGACCTAGGGATGGGGGCAAAGAAAACAAAGATTTTGTTATTATACCTCAGAGGGGTTTAATTCAGGCTCAAGTCCTCCATACCCAGGCTATCGCTTCTAAGGTTGCCCCAGTAGGACTTGCTTTCTTTACAAATGCAGACTAGGTCCATGAGCTTATCCTTTTAAAAGTATCTGAACATTTTTAGTTTTCCTCTAATGTTACCATTACTTTCACTAGAAATGGAAACAAATCTTAAATACTTTTGTTTTCTTTTTAAAGCATGACTGTGAGGGGAAAATAAGGAATCCTTGCTATATGCCAGACTGTGCGGTTATTTCTTTAATGTCTTTTTCAAAACTTTATGAGGTAGATATTATTTCCATTTTCCAGTTGAAGAAAGAGAGACACAGGCTGGATAAGTAATTTTCAGAAGGCTACACAATTAGCAGAGCTCCACTCAATCCCAAGCTAAGACTACAGCCTGTGCCAACTCCTCTGAGTTGTGTTAGACCAGCCTCATTTCCCTCATCTTTAAGAGTTTTCCAGAATTCTGCAAGATGTGAAAAAAATATCTAGTTAGCCTGAAAGGTTATGGATTCTTAGTTTACTTTTCTTGACTCTGTGCTGGTAGATGCTGAAGTTCTCCAACTTATTTATTCTTTCATTCTTCCATACGCATGCTATAGGATTTTTTTTTAATGGTTTTAATAGCTTTTTTTCTTTGAAGTAAAATAATGACTTTTTCAAGACAAAATACTTTTGCCACTTCAGGATTATCTATCAATTACTTTTGTTGTGAATCAAACAAAGTGGAATGTATGTTCTTTAGTCACAGTTTCCTCCAAGTTAAGTGGAAATGATGCCCTATGAGTTTTGTTGTCATTTCTTTATTATTAAATAACTAGAGACCTGGCACACAAAATTCATGCATGTGCAGGGGGGGAGGTCCCCTTAGCTCAGCCTCTCCAATCTGGGACCCCTTGGGGGATGTCTGACTGCCAGTTTTCCAGGGATCAGACCTAAACTGGCAGTCAGACATCCCTCTCACAATCTGGGACAGCTGGCTCCTAACTGTTTACCTGCCTGCCTGATCTCCCCTAACTGCCTTCCTGCCAGCCTGATCTCCCCTAACTGACCCCCTGCTGGCCTGTTCACCCCCAATTGCCTCCCCTGATGGCCTGGTTGCCCCCAAATGTCCTCCTGCTGGCCTGGTTGTCCCCAACTGTGCTCCCCCCGCCACCGCTGGCCTGGTTGCCCTTCACAACCTCCCATGCCAGCCTGGCCTCCAGCCCTACTGGCCTCACCTCATGCAGCCTGCTATTCAGTCATTACTATGAGGACATCATGACAAATTTGCATATTACCTTTTCATTAGTATCAATATGCCTTCATTTGGTGTTAGGTCATTTACAAGTAATAATTTCCTCCTCAGTTATCTCATCTTAAGGTACTAAGTCCTCTGTTGCAAAAGGATAGCCAGGCATAGGGGAAATCCACAATTCAAAGTCCACACTGAACCACAATTTAATCAATCCACTGGCTATCATAGAAGCTTTTTCATGTAACATGATAGTAATTTGAGCTTAAATAATGTTTTCCTTGAAAAGTAAAGAGTTTTGATTCTCAGATAAGACTGTCTAATGCAGCCAGAATGTACAGCATGGTTACTGCCCAAGAGGTGTCAACAAGTTGTAAAATATTGTGCAAGCTGTCTAATGCACCTAGCACTATGGAGGAACCCAACAAACACTTGAGGCCAATTATTGTCTTTGAAGGAGGAGCAGAGTGAACGAGTTACAGGGCAGCACCATAAACCTACTTTCCCCCTTGAAATTGTGGTGAGGATTCTTTCTCAAACTTTGTGCAGGGAGAATGCTGAGTGTAATACATCTAACAGCATTACAAGTACTCCTGTTAGGGAGGCAAGACCTCCCTCACAGTTATGCAACATCAGCAAACACAGGGTCCCAAACAACTGAGCATCACACTGGGACCCAGTGAAGGAGGCAGCAGTGAGAGAGCAGGTGCTCAGCTGCCTGGTGAATGGCCCATTTACAAACCCAACAGTAATCACAGGGTAGCAGGGAGCACAAGAGTGGCCACCATGATGGGCAAAACCAGCACTTCACAATTCAGTATGAACTCATGCCCTGCAACAAGACACCCTAGAGAGCCAATTCCCATAAACCCAGTGCATGAGTCTCTGTCAACAATCTTATTTTCCAAGCACCTCTTCAGAAAAAATCATGGCAAGAACAACTCATGCAACAAATACCGGTGCTTCCTCAGTTGCAGTATCCCTGTGAGATATTAATTATGAGCTAGACAAAATAGGGAAGAGCAGCTTTTTTACTTCAGAACCAACTAATTATCTTTCCTAACTCCTTTGAAAAGCAAATGTAGATGCAAAAGCTCGAGTGAAAAACATGTTAAATACATCATGTCTAGACTGCCAAGAAACCCAGGGAGTTTAAGTGCACAAAATCGGAAGATCTTAGTAAACCAGAATTTCAAATCAATGTAAAAAAAAAAAAAAACCCACAACCAAACAATCAGCTTTAGGGTGGATGCTGCTTCGTATTAAAGGCATGCATACATCCCACATGGTGAGTAGCACCAATATTGTAAAATTATAAGCATAAAAATTGCTTTTCAGGCATATCTTCCTTTCAGATGTTGCACATTCTTGCAACTGTATGTCCTAGGCAGAGCATTGGAAAGCAGATCACACACACAAAGATACCTTCACCACACCAGCAGAAAACCTTACAAAGGGGTGGGTCCAGGCAGCAGACAAGGAAGTGGAGGTAATTACTGGGCACCATGAGCTGACAGATGCAGCGAAACATAGGGCAGGAAAATATGAGCGGGAGAGGGGAGGAGGAGGTCCAGGACTGTCTGTACAATATATGCATATTTTTTCAAATGTAAATTATAAAGTGAATGCTGCTTTTATGTGACTGCATAAAAGCAGGCATAACAAGGCTGCTCTACTTCCCTTTAAACACAAGCACATAAAGAGAGTAAGGGATGTGAAAAGCCAATTCTTTGTGCTGCTACTTAATCAATTGCACTCAGTTCTGCTCGATGACACAGCTACACTGCAAAGACCACTCAGCAGTTAATGGATATGATGTTGGAAAAGCACTTTGAGGTCTTCCAAAGGAAGAGGAGGGTAAAAACCCAGAGGGGCATGGTTTTATTACCTAGTAACCGAAAGGCATGACACATGAAACTCCCGTGACCTGAAAAGAAGTGAAGATATTCATTTATTTTGCTTATTCTGATTGTTCTGTATGAAAGCATTCTTTCCAACGTTGGAATGAGAAAGCACGGTAGGGTGATCCTCTGCCCTAATCTGGTCCTGTCAGCATAACCATCACAGTCTGTAAGGAATAAATATGTTCTTCAAGTGTTACAGCCTACGTTTACAATCTGTCCAAATGCAGAGCTGAGGAGGAGTTATGTGTTTTTAACTGTATACATCCATCACTAGCTATCACTCTTCCCACAGACAGCACAAAGTCAACAGCGAAACATAAAAGCTAAAAATAAGTGCCTGGGCAATTGCTCGGGAGAGCTGCACATGGGCGCAGTGTGACATGTACACACATCCCTTCCCTTTTTTCTATTACAGCCGATTTAAAGTAATTGGAATTCAGGGTTCCAATCTAAGAAAAATGAAATCAACATGCACTGCACAGATATGTAAAAATCAGTTGGAAGTAAAATTTCATGCTCATCACCACACAACATCACTGTTCCGAACGGCACGTGCCCGGAGGCAGGCAGTGACTATTACATGTTGCCGCAAATGCCAGGAAATATGACAATTATAGGCACATCAAGTGCTCCAAGAAAGATTTAGCGTCATTCCACACAAGCTGAAAATATTTCTCCACTCACCAGTATTTTAACACATTCATTTCTAAGAGTCCGTCGGATCAACACTATTAAAGAACCGTTGTTTACAATTTACTATGCTCTACTGATGGAAAATGTTGCATAAGAAGTATAGTTCACATGCAGGTGTACATTCAAAATATATGAGTGGATATATCGTTGCATATAGAAAAGAAGCTTAATGTAAAAGGAAAACACTAGGTTCAGAAAAATCAATAAATCTGTGACTTAATTAGGTAGTTTTGGTTTTCTTCTCGTTCTGTAAGAATTTGTTGGGTGAGAAAAAGAGCATAAAAACCTTGGAAGTTACAAGTTTGAAATATATTCAAAGGAGACAAGTTGTCTTTCAACAGTCGTTTTTGAACTATTTTTTTTTTAGCTTCAAAATGATTTAGCTAACCAAACCTCATAGGAAATCACAATGTATTCAATAAAAAACAGGTATTTAATTAATACAAATTTCTTTCATAAGTGCAAGTTTAAGACATTTATTTGTTAGGTAAATAAATGAGGGGGGTTTCGATAAAGAGAAAAATGTGAAAGAGGATACTATGGTGACAGTTACATTCTTCTGTGAGTGTCTGACTCGTTTCTGTATTTTGGAGGGTTTTTTTGCACCATATTAAGACAATTCTGATTTATACGCGTAGGTGGTTACAAACCCTTGCAATCTGAGGTTACTCTTCAAGCAAGCAGAAAAGGGAGCAGGAGAAGCTTCCTTCCACAGCCTGAACCACCTCAATAACCTATTAACATAAATTAACTCATCATCACTGCTTGCAACTATGGTAACATTTCCCACATAGTTGACGGAATTTGTAGAATTAAAAAAAAAAATCACAATACTTAAATCCAATTCAAACCTTGAGAAAACCAAAGATTGCCACCTTCCACTGCACCCCCACCCCCACACACAGAATGTCCTAGTGGTTAGTGGAATACAATTGCTATTTGAAAGCCTGTCTTTAAGAGCCTGCCAGCACACACTGAGTTGGTGTTAGAGGTCAACAACTGGGCTCACCAAGGGGGTGGAGCGTAGAGACCTCTGTGGGCAAACCTAGGATTCGAGCAGGGTGTGCCACCTGCAGACCTGCTGGCCTTTGGTCTCCTTCATTTCCTCCCAATGGTCTTGCTCCTCCTCTCCACTACTGTTTTGGCCCAGAGCAATCCAGCCAATCATCTCTTTACGCTTCATAGTGCGCCTGTTATAAACGGAGATCATCAAGGTGACATCAGAGAGCTGAAAGAGGGCCACCTGGAAAACAAAGGTCTCCTTATAGACAGGATTGGGCTGGCCACGTCGAATGGATGTCTTGCAGCGGGACATCTCTTGACCCACCGAATTGAGGAGAAAGAGCTTTCCAAATGTATCTAAGAGGAGGAAAAAAAAGGAAAGGAGAAAACATCAGCCCTTTCAGTTTTGCTGTTCTAGTTGTAATATTTACATGGGCAGCAGATTTTCCTTTTCACATACTGATCAGCATCGTTAGGCCTGGTACTTGCCCTGGGATTAACATAGTTTACATGAGCGATTAAGGAAAGGGATCGTTATCTGGAAAGCATGGTGTTTCATGTAGCCCACTGTCGGGCACCTTGCCAATGTTCATTAGGAGCCCTACACATGCAGAAGTGTACTCTATACACACACAGCCATACGTGCAATGGTGCTTATGGACATGCATGGAGTTTTTCATCCCCATTTTATTTATGGACATGATAAATGTGCAGAGTTTGCTCTATACATGTGTTTTTCTCCCCGTTGTCCCAATACTATTTTGTGCCTGAGTTAAAGAGTCCCTTCTATTCTCATGGTGTACGTATTCTTTAGACTGTCTCATCTACTTAATGGCAACTACCAACTCTGACTTCAATGACAACTGCTAAACCTATTCCTCTAGCCTAGATGTCTCTCCTGAGCTCAAGATCCAACAGAATACTGCATTTCTCTTCATGGACATTCCAGACACACCTCACACTCAGCAGGTTCCCAACTCAAACACTCACTGCTCCACTGTTCCCCATCTCTCATAACATCATTCCCTCAATGACCCAAATCAGTAATGGGGGCTACATTTATTGGCAAGATTGGCTTCCTCACCCTGGTGCAACCAGTGAATCACCCAGTATTGTTGATTCTACCTCTTAAATAGTTCCCAATCCACCCACTTATTTGCATCCCTAATACCAATAAACTCTCAGTGTACACCATAAGCTCAGGTCATCAGCATCTCTCACCTGCATGCTTGCTCACCAAACACCAGTCACTGGACAAGGCAATATACGTAAAATGCCTATCTGGTCATGTCACTTTCACTAAAAAGCAAAAATGAACTTGTCGATACTTCCCACTCGACTTAGGATAAAATTAAATTTCTTTGAATAGACTAAATACTTGGGCATGTTTATCCATTAAATAAAGATATGCAATAAAGACTTTATTACAATTTACAAATTCTAATCCAACCATTCTGAACTACTTTCATCCCTCGAAACCCACCTGCTCTCTTTCCCTTTTACTTTGACACAAGTTATACATGTCCTGATATTCCAAGTGACACCCACCTTCACATGACTTCTATTCACTAGTTTGGTTTAGACTTTATTTTACCCAAATTTCCTGACCACTCTCCCTCCCCACTAGGCCTAGTTCAGATAACCTGCCAGTGGGTCTCATCAAAATCAAGTTTCACACACATAGATACAGAGAACAGACTGATTGTTGTCAGAGGGGAAGAGGGCAGGTGAAAAGGTGAAGGAATTGAGAATCACAGATCGGTAGTCACAAAGCAGGGAAGGGATGTAAAGCACAGCATAGAAAACATAGTCAATGATATCGTAATAACCATGTGTGCTGCCAGGTGGGTACTGGAAATATAGTGGGGAACACTTTGTAAAGCATATGATTGTCTAATCACTGTGCTATCCACCTGAAACTAACAAAAAATAATATTGACTGTAAACTGTAATTGGAAAAAAAAATTAAAATCATGATTTAGCTTCTCTCAGCACTTATCACCCAGTATTTCATTGCTTGTTTCCTTGTCTGCAAGACTAGACTAACAGTTCCCCAATGGTCAAAAGAGGAATTGCCTTGTTTATCATTGTATCCAATGCCTGGCCCAGGGTCTAACATGTAGCACATATTCAATAAGTATTAAGTATTTTATAATGAATGTCCATGACTGGTCAGGATGTTCAACCTTCTTTGTTCTTTTGGTCTTAAGTTTTTCCAAACTTACAAAATGCAACTTATTTGATCATCCTTGCACTGGTATGCTGTAAAATGGTAACTTGCACCATATATTTAGTCATTTATAGAAAGGAAAGAAAATATCCAAATCACTGATATAGTCTACTACTTTTGCTAAAATTCTAGAAAGGATCATTACAAAGAACATCATTCCTAAAACAATTATATTTTTAGCCCTAGCCAGTTTGGCTCAGTGGATAGAATGTCTGTCTGTAGACTGAAAAGTCCCAGGTCTGATTCCAGTCAAGGGCACATGCCTGGGTTGTGGGCTCAATCCCCAGTAGGGGGGTGGTGTGCAGGAGGCAGCCAATCAATGATTCTCTTTCATTATTGATGTTTCTCTCTCTCCCTCGCTATTCCTCTCTGAAATAAAAAAATATGCATTTTTAAATTACATTTTTAGTAAAATCATTTATCAATTTCTTGACTTTTTTCGTAACTACAACTTTTACCACTTATGTATGCTCTATTTAAAAAAAAAAAGACAAATGTTAAGGTGTTTTTCAAATTCTATTTTTCTGTACATTCTGTACAGACTGAAAGCTGTTTACTGCTCCCTTTCCCACCTAAAACGAGTCAAACTTTTTACAAGCGTGAACCCAGGTTTTTGTAATCTACATAGAGGAGAGCATTATGGGATGGGAAACAAATTACAACTACAATGTGCAGTGTTCTTTCTATATTGAATTTTTTCCTCTCCTGGTTTAATGTGTTGTTTTGTGCACTTATCCACTGAGAAACACAAGGTGTGAAATTACACTTGAGGTGGGAAAACACTTCTCTGTCTCAGGCTCAGGCTCTCCACTCTTCAAACTGCTTTACAGAAAAGCTATCAGAAAACCAACAATGTGGGAGTGAAGTATCATTGCTGCCGCTGTAGGGCTACATGATTCCAGGAGGAAAGGTTCAATCCAGTCACCCAACTGCACTGGGAATTCTGCTGCCAGGGTGGCAGGGGGAACCGAGTTAACCTGCAAGCAAGGGCCTGCTTATTTCACAAAGAGAGCAATTTCCAGCTTTATCCTGGCGCAAGACTGCTTTCTAGTTACAAAACCATGGGAAGCAAAAGCGGAGATGAGGAGGATTACTGCATTGTTACACTTTTTTCTGGCACACATGGTACAAGTGCAGGCAAAGCAGTTGGAGAACTGAGTTGGCAGAATAGCATCCAGCACTATCAGGAATCGTGACCCATGATGTGTTTTGATCATAGTTTTGAGTTACTGGAGACACTGAGAGACTTTATACCTCATCGCCAGAAGATAAAATATTGCTTGTGGTTGTTTTGTAAAAAGTATAGTAATCAATTTCAAAGAATTAAAAAAGAGCTCAGTTTAGTTGTATATTTACTTCAGTGGGCCCTTCTCTATCATTTTGGACTGGTCCTTATCAGACTAAGTCACTGAACCTCAAAAGACCCAAGCCCTGCTCCCCACACTTCTACACAGCAGAATGTCCCGATACTCTAGTCAGGTTGGTGAAAAGCAAGCACATCATTCCTGCTGATCAAGGTTCCCCTTTGAGCCAGAATGATCAGCACTGTTTCCTCCCTTCCGTCAGGTGTCTGCAGACTGGATTGTTTATGAGATTATTATTTCCCCTTCTTGTCACTTACAATTCAGCTCCGGGGATGGCAGTTTGGTAGGAGGTGGCCTTTTCGTAACTAGAAAGCAGTTATTGATTTTAGAGAGAGAGGAGGTGGAGAGAGGGAGGGAGGGAGGGAAGAAGGGAAGGGCAGAGGGAAACATTGATTTGTTATTCCACTTATTTATACATTCATTGGTTGCTTTTTTTAGCAGCCTGATCTGGGATAGAACCCACAACCTTGGCATATCAGAATGACACTCTAACCAACTGAGCTACCTGGCAGGACCTTCATGTATGTCTTTAGATTTTCACCCTTTAAGTAGATGAATGTTGGGATTTTCATAATATAACTAAAGATATTCAAAATATATTTAACAGTATTTTGCACATTAAAAATATTTAAAATTTAGGTTATGACTTCCCAAAACTTACTTTTTTCATTTGATATTAAATTTTTTTATATTATCTATAGTGATATGTAAACCTGATTCATTTATTTTAATAAGCTACAGTGTTTAATAAACTATAATGCACTTATCCTTACTTTTAATGAATGGATATTTAATTGTTTAAAATAACCAAGAATTGAAAATAGTTCAGGGAACATTTTTCTATATTTTTCATTGTACCAATATTTGAGACCCTTTCTAGTATATATCAAGGAGTGAATTACTATCTTTTATAAATTTTAGATACAGAATCATTGTTATATTTCCTAATAGTATCCTTTCCATACTTGTAGTTTACCCTTTTGTTCTGTTTATAGTACACTTTTCAGCATAAATGTTTTAAATTTTATGGCATCAAATTTATCAATGTTGTCATTTTTAGTTGATGTTTTTTAAACAAAATTAATAAATTCTACCCAAATTCAATAGTCTCCTGCATTTTCTTCTATAAGTCTTAAAAATTTGTTTTTCACACTTGGTCTTTTTTAGATATAACTGACATATAACATTGTTACTTTCAGGTGTAAAACATAATAATTTGACATATGTATATATAGTGAAACTAGAGGCCCAATGCATGAATTCATACACAGGTGGGGTCCCTCGGCCTACACAGTGATCAGGACCAACCAGAGGGCATGATGGGGGGCAGCCAATCACGGGGATGGACGGCAGGAGGTTGGCTGGCTGGGAGGAGGGACTGAAGGAGATTGGCCGGCCAGGGTGAGGGACCACGGGAGGTTGGTTGGCCAATCCCCTGCCCTGATTGGGGTTAATAGGGGGACTTGTCTGGTGGGGGGAGGGCTCTCAGGAGTTAGGAGGTTGGCTGAGGGAGCACACTGACCACCAGGGGGCATTTCCCGCATTGAGTGTCTGCCCTTTGGTGGTCAGTACTCATCACAGCAACTGGTCAACCGGTTGTTCAGTCATTTAGTCATTTGGTCACTTAGGCTTTTTTATATATAGACTAGAGGCCCGGTGCACAAAATGTGTGTGCTTGAGGGAAGAGGGTGTCGCTCAGCCCAGCCTGTATCCTCTCACAGTCTGAGAGCCCCCAGGGGATGTCCGACTGACAGGTTGGGCCC